TTGGAATAAGCAAATGTATATCTTCATCAACTTCGTCTATGATGGTTTGGGTGTCTATGCCATCAATTCTTATTTTTAAGCCAGACGTTAAATCGAACGCGGCCTGTTCACTTGGAGTACGATGTCCATTCAAGAACAAAATATTTTTGAAACTAATTTTCTTTTCTTTGCTTATTAAAACATTTGGAGGAGGTAAGATATGTTTTGTGTTAAAAGTTTCAGACTTTCGCAAGGATTTTTTTGGTAATTGCGGTTGTTTTTCGTTAGTATTATTACTGTTGTATGAGGTTGAATTACTTTGGAAACTTCGAAGGGTTCCAGAGTAGGAAGTAGAAGTTTCATCATCTTTTCGAGATAAATAACGAGAAATAATACAAAAACCGAAAACTTTATCCAACTTGAGAAGCTTGAGCCATTTTCCATAAGCTGTCATTGCATCTTGTCCTGTACCAAAAAATATGAAAACGAAAAATCCAGCTAAAGGTTTAGCATAATCCACAAATGTTACACCATTAGTTTCTCCTGGGAACTTTTCGATATCATTATAATATAATCGATTTTTATACATGTCATATGGTTCAATACCATCCAAGATATTTGAGAAAAAGTTGAGAAGAGCGGCTGGCAAGGCGAAGATAAGAAACGTAATACAAAAGAAGACTAGACGATAGAATTTTGAAGAGCTAAGTCCGGATTCATTATGCCTTAAGAGTGATTGGATTTCAAGTCTTTTTTTAATTATGGCATACGCGGTCATTCCTATGAAAATAATTAATTTTTTTTTAGGATGCGTTTTTTCACGTGACGCCGCGGTTTGCTTGCCAATATAAAATTTATTAGAATTCATACCTGAATAATAACAACCAATTAAAGAAATAATCGGGGGCCATATGTTATTGATGATAATGAAAACCCAATTGATTTGAGCGGGACTAAAACATCCAAGAACAGGGCGGATGGAATATTTTCTTTTTTGCACTAAATAAAATAGGCCCATGAAGATGAGTGGCATTACAATACTAATAATAAAATCTCTTATAGCTCCTCGTCTTTTGACCGTTTCCGTTAAGATAACAGGGTAAGCAACATAGGAGTACAATGTATATATCATACAAGTGATGGAGGCCAAAAGACCGAAATGAGTTGCCACATATATTGGGGAAGAAATTAAACACCAAATTTCTGCTTTATCTTCCAAATTTATAGGATCTGGCCATAAAAGCGAATTCACAAAGATTATGAAATTTGATAATATTATCCATATTGTCATGAATATCGCTCCGTAATTTCGAGTTTGTACATGGAAGATTCCTGGTACGACACACAGAAGGACGGCAAGTCCTGTGGAAGCTGTAAACATAATGTCACCCATTTTATATCATATGAAAAGATATCTTTTTTATAAGTTTGTGGCCTCGTTAAAATTCAAATTAAAAAATGAAGGAATTCTTTCTTTTTTTTTTGGAATCGGCGACTCGTCGTTGAAAATGTTAATGAGCACCGGGCCTCCAAGAAGATTTTCTTTGCAAAAAATAATAAAATCGATAGATAAATGTATTATAATAACTTTATAAAGATATTTAATGTATGTGTATATGTCTGAAAGTATGGTTAGAAAAGGTTGGGAGAGGAAAAAAAGAAAGGGGTTTAGAGGTTTTAGAAGGAGTAATGAGCAAATGTCGAAGACCCAAAAAAAAAAAAAAAGATAAATAAAAATATAGAATTAGAAAGTGATGGTGGCGGTTTATAATTTTTTTTTCTTTGAAATTTGGAGCAGTCGAATCAACGACTGTTCCAAAAAGAAAAAGAAAAAGAAAAAAAAAACTAAAATTTATTAAAAAACGTAGAACGAGAGAGAATTAAATAAATCAAAAATAAGTGCAAGTGCTTTAATAAAAGAATTGGCACATTTAGAAAAAAAATTTTTTTTTTTTTTATATTAATTATAAATTATATACAATTATCGAACAAAGAGATGTTTTTTTTATACAATAAAAAAAAAATTAGATTAATTTAAAGCAATCAATTCAACCAAGGAAAAGAAAGAATATTTAAACACATATATATGCGCCAATCGATAAATTTTCATGCTCTCGTTGTTTAATAAAGCGCGCCCGATAATTAAAAATTGTATTACCAGTACGATAATTTATGCATGAGACAAACACTCCGACGGTAGAAAAACAATAATGAAAAAGAGGGGTAACTCAATTAATTTACATAACTTTAATACTTTATAAGAATATAAAGACTAAACATGATCGTTTCTAAAGTGTACCCATTAATTTTCCTTATTTGAATAAAACAAGGAAACCAAAATGAGCAAAACGGGAGGCAGAACAAGGTGGTACAACACAAAAACTAGATGAACCTTACCTTGTCATGATTAAAAAGGAAATTTTTTTGAAAATACTACATTGGTTAACATTACTTTAAAATAAACAAGGATATTTATTACTTGTTTTTCATTTCAGGAATTCTTTGTTTATTTTAAAGAGGGATTAAATTAATATCACTGTAATCCTAAAATTTCCTTAATTGTTAAACAGCATTTTAGCCGATTCGGATGTCATTGTTCTCGTGGTGTTGGTATCCTTGATAAAGTTATATTAGGTTGGTTATGTAATTCTTTATTTCGAAGTAAGAATTAAATTGTAAAGATCTGAAAAAAAAAAAAAAAAAAAAAAAAATATACATATTTTTAATCATAAATCTGATTATTGATTTTCTTCTCGCTCTAAAAATATTTTTAAAAAATATTTTTAATAGAGAGAATGTAACGAGAAGTTATAAATATGTGAGCTTATTGCAATATTTTATTATTTAAATTTTTTTTTTTTTCCTGCGTTTGAAAGCAACTTTAGTTTTATTAGTTTCCAAAAGTCTAACGGAAAAATATTGATAACTTGCATATATTTAAAATAATAAAGTAGTATTTCGTGAAATCGAGGTCGGGTTCCGTAATTTAAAAAATTCCTAAATTGTATAATACGTCAAAATTAAAAATTTTCCACGCGACAGGAAAAAACAAATCACAACATGTAATATTTGGAATAATTGAATCATTGACAACTTATCGTGATATACCTTAATTTTCAATATTTAAATAGTTATAAATGAACGAAATATATTAAAGAAACAAGGATGTTAATAAATAAATAATGTATTCAACTTCCAAAGTTTTTTTTTTTTTAGTTGTTTACCGTGATTGGAAATAAATCTTTTAAACATAAAAACTTTTATTCATTCTGGTTAAACAAAATTTACAAAAATTATGTAATCACCATCATTAAAGATATTTATTATTTCATCGAGCAAATTTAACTTTGCCTTGTGACTCGAACTACCAAATGGTTAATTTATCACGGCCTAAATTGAATCAATGAAGGTATTTATATTTATAGAAATATCGTCAGATTGGCTCGGTGGGTTAGTATTTATCAACATGTTATTTGTGATTAGTTTAACAACCTAGTAAATGAACCCGAAAAGTCGAAAGAAATTCCGTGATCGCTGTGACCCGAGTTCCCGTTTTACGATTGTATTACATGGCGCAGGAAATCATATATAAGTTTGGACGTGAAGGATTTCATCTAATAAAAGTAACGTTTTCTCTCATTATGGTCGAATAATAGTGTGATGATATTAATTTCCCTTGAAGAATTGATGTAAAACGTGGTATTATTGTTAATGCATTAGAGGAGGAACTGTGTTACTGTTAGAGGTTATCCGTGAAGGAAAAAGCAAGCGAGTAAAACATAAAGTCTTGAATAAATGCGTGTTTTGGAATTCACGTTGATTTCAACTAACAAAGAGAACATGTGCATCGTGATTACCTTAAGTTGTGACGTATTGATGTTAATTATTACGATTATCTTTTAAACAAAGAACAAATGACGTTGATTTAATTCATTAAAAAAGAACAATTAAAAAGAAAAATAGATTGATTTGAAAAGTTATTCTTTTTTGATAATATTATTAATAATTTAATCTATTTGTTCCTTTATATTTTATTTCGGATTCATCTTTATGATTACGAGTTGTTGATTTGTGTCCATGTTAATTTGTGAAACACTGTAATAATCACCGCTCACATAATGATTTGGTGACAATCTTCGTATTATATCATCTTGCATATACATTAAATAAGTCTCTTCTATGTCTAACAGAGAAAGAAATATTTACATTCCAAATTTTCAAAAAAAATAAAGAAATACAAACTTACAATAAATTTTATATAGCAATTAAATTTTGAAAAAATACAAGGGATAGTAAAGTAATTATTACCTTTTATTCTCATCATCATTTTTTTTTTTAGTAAAATTAATTAAAATGTTTATAAGTTATGATATAGTTTTTTTACCTTACTATTTAGGTGATTTATTTAACTTCCAAATTTCGCCTAATAATCTATTTTTTAATGATATATATATATATATATATTTCCGATTGTATTACTTTAAATACAAAATTTTATTTTATAAAATAAAAAACTTAATAAAAAAAGTTTTTATAAGAATAAATATTTAAATATTTTATTAAATTAAAATTTTTATAAAGATTATGATTCATTTACTAAATCAGAATGTGTATAAAATTCACAAATTTTACTATCAGAATATCCTATTATATTACAAAGATTTATAATAATTGGTATACTTTTAAAAAATAGATTTGATTTTTAGATCAATATTCTTAAAATTAAGCAAAGTCCTTTATATCAATATTCTAGTTTAACTCAACAAATACTTTCAACATATTCATTTCTTCTTAAAGATAATTCTAATATAAACTAAAGAAAATTATTTTTGATTTTTTATATATAATTATAAAGCACACTATCACAAATAACTATAATTTATTTATAATTACTTTATTTAATATCAAATACATTCTCAATATATTTAAGAAACTTTCAAACATTGGCAATTAAATTTGAATTAATACCTATTGGATCAAAAACAAATATTTACAATATATTAATTTTACTTATTAAAGATAAAAATCATATAGTACTTACTAAAATCATTAAATCAAGCTTTATTTCTTCAATAATATCATTAATACTTTTCTTTAATAGTTTTTCTTGATTTTTATAATCATTATTATCCTTCTTGTCCTATTTATATTTAAATTTATTTGATTTTTTTTTGAGATATTTGATTATACAGCTGTATTCAATTAATATTACTATAAAATCTTTATAATCTAAATTCTTCTTTTCTATTATAATAAATAAATTAATGATTCAGATGAAATAATCATAAATTTTTTTTGTAATTTATTATTATCTTGATTGTTATTCAAAAATTTTTCTAGTTCACTTAATATAATAATATCTATCTCCTGGATTTTTGTAATATCTAAAAATTGTGAAATTTTATCTAAAATTTACCAGTATTCATTACTAAATACAAGTTATTTATTTATATAAAGAGCTTATAATTAGTGTTAAAAACTAATAATAATTTATACTAAAGATGTTATTCATTTCTGTTTATTATATATATATATATATATATATAATAATAATAATAATAATAATAATAATAATATAAAAATAAAATGTTATTAATATAGCTTTTGTTTTCTTATAAAATTAAAATTTTTTATATAATTCAATAGTTATTAATGTTAACTTAAAGATTTATTATTTAGTTTTTCTTAATTTAACAAAATCATATAGTATATATTGAGAATTTATAATTTATAGAATTTGTAATATAGAATATTAATATAAAGTTTAGTGTAAATTACAAAAAGTTTTATTTGTGTAAACTTTATAAAAGTATGATATTTTTGTTATATGATATTATGTGTACTGAATTTTACCTTAAAGGTAGAATTCATTTAATCAGTGATTATATAAAGATTTTAATAAAAAATACTTTTTTGTATAACTCATAAAGTAAAAATTTACTACATAATGTATAACCTAATTAAAACCTATTTTCTAAATTTTTGTAATAAAAGACTACTGAATTGGAAATTTTAAGTATAAGTTTATTAGTATTTTTAACTCAAAAAATAGTTTAAAAAATATAAAAAATTGTAAATTTTGTTTAAAGTTGTAAAATCTTACTTTTTATTATATAGTTTATTAAGATAGAATAAACTAAATAGAATAACTTTGAAATAAACTTATTTTTATCATCTAAGAGAATTTTTGTTTGAAGTTTTTTATTAAAAAAATGGATTGTAATAATTGAAGCTCTCTCTATATATATAGAAGTAAAATGTTTAAATAATTAAAACCTTGCTTTTTTTTAATACAAATTATTAATTTTATTTATTGGTAAACTAGTTAAATATAATAATAGATATTATTTCTTTATTATAAGTTTTAGATAAATATTTTCAATTCTAAGATAT